CATAGACAACTAAGCTATCTCAGCTGAACTTCCACTAGAACCCCAGAGACCAGGGTTGGCTTTGTTGAAGTGGTGAGTGGTGTGATCCACACACCAACACCTTCTGGAAGGGACCATCGGCGCAAGCCGAAGCCGGTTTAGCGCGGCTTGGACACGGTGCATGGCCCGACCGACCGAGGCACCATCGCCCCGGCCCAGCAGAAGGGCACTGATCCTCCGTTGCCCGTGGTGCTGAAGCAGCTGCTCGGTGAAGACGTCTGGGGGGGGAGGGTGTTGAGGACTGAAGCGTGATGGGAAGCATCATTTGGCAGTGAGAGCCCAGCTTCGGACTGAGAGTGGACATCGGATGAAAAGGCCTCCCACACATGTTTTGCAGCAAAAAGCCCATGATTGTGATGATATTATTGGACATCATCTTGATCCTGACCATCAGTTTTTCAGAAAGGGAGACCTGGTGGCGTCCCACTCTCCATTTTTTGGGTCTCGCTTGATCCCAAGGGAAGCGCCTCTACCAGCAGTTCCATGTCGGTTCCATATAGGGGTTGTCTTGGGACATCCACTTCTAGGTCGTTGGGGGTCAGACCCACCAAGGAGCTCCCGCAGGATGACCAAACAGATGTGACTCCTGGTAGGATGACTTCGCCATGCTTGGGTCCTAATCCGGATGACGTCCGCTTCGCTGTCCTCGCTGCCTGTCGCATCCGTTGAACATGTTCACCACTCGGATCCGCCGACAGCTTTGGTGGTCTTGGTTGACGAGATGCCGGGGACGGGCACAGACGCTTTTGGGATGTCACGGATAGGACACCGGTGGGACCCGGTAGGCGCGGTGGGGTCTGGAAAAGGGTCTCAAAAGGGTCGCAAGGTGTCAGAACTTCGATAGGTGGAATTTGGGAGACCCCTCCCCTTCTTTTCCTTCGACATCTGTAACACCACCTCCGAGCCTCACCGGAACGCTTCGCGTTCAGACCCGGAAACGCCCGGGGAACTCGCGGAAACGCCGCCGACCGGCGCGAGGCCAGCGAAGGTGACCTACCGACAGACGACGGAGTCGGACCGGCGGAAGCTCCAGAGGGCCAAGCGGGGCAAGGAGGAGGAGGACGTGGGTGGGGGGTGGCTGCTGGTGGGTTCGGCCTACCTCAAAGCGGACGTCTACAAACCGGTTGTGCGGTTGACTTTGGGGGGCGGCTGGTGGGTTAGGCCTACCTCAAGCCGGACATGCGGTTTTTGTTGGGGGGTGGCCGACGTGAAGGCGGGTGCTAGGCGGCGGGTGCGTGAAGGTGGGGGAAGTGAGGGAAGGTGCGAGGGCGTTTTTGGATGCTGAAGCACCAGAGCCTTCATGCGCGGTTGCAGGTTGCGAGGCTGGGGGAATTTCACCAGTCGTGGTGTTTCATACCTGGATCTTAGCATGTGTATGCAAGGGTGCAACATGTTCTGCCTTCATCGATCAAATTCAGCCAAGTTAGGCAGACGTTTGGCATAGTTGGAAGATCCAGGCTATGATGGAGGTTGGGCCTTTGGGGCTCAGTCGGACTGCAACCCTCCGTGGTGCACTGATTCGCGGGGCGCCCCTGGCGCCACTCTCGATTTCAGCATCGATTTGGCGGCTCCACTCCAAGTCGCTATTCGGGCGGCGATGGCCTCCACCCGAAATAGCGATGGCCATCTCTCTGAGACATTTTTGAAGCGGCGCCACTCTGTGAGAAGAGACCCACGATGGTAGAGTTCTGGTGAGAGTGAGAGTGAGAGTGAGAGTGACAGTGACGCTGATGTGCCGGGCTGATCAGTGGGGGTGAAGTGGCCAATCTGCTAAGAATCTTAGATCAAAACCAGTCCGACCGATGTACTGGACCAAACATGACCAAACCGCTCACTTGGGGTCTAAAGACAATCCCTTTGGAGGAGCAAGTGGCTAGGGCATCTAGAGAGTGTTTAGGGTTGAAGCTAGGGAACGTGCGGGATTCTTCCTTCAACAGTTCTCGGTGACGAAAAAGCTCACGTGCGTCCTTCCAGTGACCTCCGTCTCATGCCAAAGCCCGTTCAACCGGCCTTGCTTCGTTGGAGCAAGGCCACCAGGGGATACCTTCCACTCCTTTCGACCGAAGAACACTGCTTTTCACCACGAAGACAGGAGGATGAAGAGGGCGAAGGCGAAGGCAGCGAAGAGGACCGCGAGGACCGCCCCGACAACCCCTGACGCGTTCGCTCGCGCTCGCTCTCTTGGCTCTCTTGGCTGGATCAGCGGTTCGACGGCGAAACAAGGCACAACACATCGGTGGAGATTCTCTGCCAGGAGTCACATGTCGGGTGCCGAACGAATGGAGGTAGTCCGGGGTGCCCCTGTCACATCCACTCACTGGATGAGACCAAACAACACTCCCCCTCATTCCCCAAACAGTTTACTGTTAGGGGTTCTCAATGCTTTAAAGAATGGTCGCCTTGGTGCTGGATGGTCTTGTCGGGTTCCCAGCCGGCTTGTCTCCCACTTCCTTTGTCTCCCAGTTCTTTTCAGTCGGGGTTCCCGGCTGGCTTGTCTCCCACTTCCTTTCATTTGCCTCCCAATTCTTTTCATTTGTCTCCCAGGCCACTTCCTTTCATTTGTCTCCCACTTCTTTTCATTGTCTCCCAGGCTGGGTGCTTGTGGTCGGGTTCCGGGCCGGCTTGTCTCCCACTTCCTTTCATTTGTCTCCCACTTCTTTTCATTTGTCTCCCAGGCTGGGTGCTTGTGGTTGGCTGGCTTGTCTCCCACTTCCTTTCATTTGCCTCCCAGGCTCGGTAGGCTGGGTGCTTGTGGTCGGGTTCACTTCCTTTCATTTGTCTCCCAGGCTCGGTGCTTGTGGTCGGGTTCCCGGCCAGCTTGTCTCCCACTTCCTTTCATTTGTCTCCCACTTCTTTTCTGCTTGTGGTCGGGTTCCCGGCCGGCTTGTCTCCCACTTCCTCTTATTTGTCTCCCACTTCTTTTTCATTTGTCACCCACTTCTTTTCATTTGTCTCCCAGGCTGGGTGCTTGTGGTCGGGCTCCCGGCCCGCTTGTCTCCCACTTGCTTTCATTTGTCTCCCGGTTCTTTTCATTTATCTCCCAGAAATGCTTCATTTGTCTCCCAGGTCCGTCATGCCATGTAGCATTTCTATTCATTTGTCTTTGTCACTGCTAATTTCCGCCCTTTTCCGCTGGCCATGCAGCATTTCTATTCATTTGTCCCCCAGGCTTGTCACTGGTGGTGTCCGCCCTTTTCCGCTGTTTCTATTCATTTGTCTCCCAGGTCTGTCACTGTAGGTGTCCGCCCTTTTCCGTTGGCCATGTAGCATTTCTATTCATTTGTCTCCCAGGTCTGTCACTGCCAGTGTTTTGTCTCCCAGGTCTGTCACTGCTGGTGTCCGCCCTTTTCGTCGGCCATGCAGCATTTCTATTCATTAGTCTCCCAGGTCTGTCACTGTTGGTATCCGCCCTTTTCCGCTGGGCATGCAGCATTTCTATTAATTTGTTTCCCGGGTCTGTCACTGGTGCTGCCGCCCTTTTCCGCTGGCCATGTAGCATTTCTATTCATTTGTCTCCCATGTGACTTCTTTCTTTTTGTCTTTCAGGTTTGGTGCCTGCACTGCTGTTTTCTGCCCTGTCCGCTGGAACAGGTTCGCCTGTGAAAGGTTCTTGCTCCTTTGCAAGGGGTGCGTGACTGTCTCCGGGATTGCATTCCTGCCACACTGTGTAACTCTCTCAGCTTTGTTTTCCTTCTCGGGCAACCGTTGGATGAATGACCGGATTGGATTTCGGCGGCGTGGCAGCGATCTCTCTATTCAGTTGGGGCGGAGGGCATATGTCAGGCACCAAAAATCAATTTCATGTCACATCCTTCGCTCCTCATGCTTTTGTTTCTTGTCCTCACGTGGTCAGCTCCCCGCTGACTGAGCAGCATGACCAGCATCATGTTCGCGCTTGAAGAATAATTCCCCAAAAGGTTTACTGTTAGGGCTTCTCACTTCTTTCTTAAGATGTGTCCCCCCGCTCTGTACTGCTGTGTCCGTCTCTGCCTTGCAATCCTTTATATTTATCTCCCAGCTCTGGACGTCGCAAGCTCTAGTTTCGATTTTGAAAAACACAAACTGTTTGGGGTCTACGGTGGTGTAATTTTCTTTTAAGACGGAGCTGTTCTTCAACTGTCCGATGTGACCGTCGTCCGTGAACCGGCCTTGGCGTCGCCGGATGGCGAAAGCGGTTTCACCGGGTGTTTTTGGCTGCGCCGAAAGAAACGGTTTGACCCTGGCGGCCCCCGGTTTCACGAGGGAGGACAGGCCGGGGTTCTGCCGCCAAGGCAGCAGCTCCCTCTGTCTCACCCGCCCGCAGAATGCGAACCCCCATCGACCGGAGAAAAGGGCACGCCCGGCAGCGGCCGGCCGCGGCCGGCCGCGGCCGGCCGTTGGAGGACGACTAGGGGCTCCTGGCCTCGCGACTCGAACGGAGCGTATCGGACACGCTACGAGGTAGGGGCTCCTGGCTGTACCTACTAGGAACAAGGACGCTAGAGGCTCCTACTTCGTCGCTTGGGAGTCGGTTTGGGAGCCTAAAGGCCGCGTGGGGCGGGACCGCCGGTTCGAACGCCGAAGCAGCGTAGGATGGTGGAACGTTTTTTGGCGGGTTGCCGGTGGTAACGAGTTCGCCCCACAACAGGTGAGTTGATCACTCCATGACAGGACCGTACTGGGTCTTTGGACCTGGGAAGGGTCAATGAGACTGGGCGACGTGGGGCCGTGTCCAAACACGGATCCCGAGCCCGCGGCACGTGGACCTCCTGAAGGATTCGTCGATTCATGTCTGGTGCTCCACCAGGGTCCGATTTTGGCCCCCCGGCTGTTCTTGTGCAAGCCTCCTGTTCCATCCGAACTGAGCTTCGCTTGCCTCCACCACCCAAACACGTGGGACGTTTGTGGGGCCTCCGAAGCGTTCGGTCGACTCCGGTCGGTGTTTCACCGCCCCGGATCGACCGTGGAGCATCCCTTCGGAGGCCTGGCGTCACCGGGTGCAACTGCGAGTGAGTACGGCCGAGCAGCAGGAGGCGAGTGTGCCGGGGTCGGCTTGGTGATCGAATGCCGGGGTTGAGAAGCACAGCTGACACTGGTGCCGGCTGGCGGGGGGGGTGGAAAGGAGGCTGGGGGTGAGTGATGGTCGAAGTGGTTTTCAGGGCTGCCTGCCCTGGCCAAGAAGTACAAGTCTGATCAAGTCTATAGTCTATAGGCCGCTACTGTAGAAGATTTACGTACGCATGTTTGCAGTTTTGAAAGGAAGTTGAGGGGTAGAAAAGAGCTGGCACGTGCTTCGGAACATCCGCACTTCGACCAAACTGACAGGGTTTCGGTTTCGGAGGGGTTGTTGTTTTGCATCGGCAGGGGTGGCCTTGACGAGCGGGAACAATACAACAGCAGCTCGCCTGACAAAACAAGCCACTAAAGCGGCAAAGCCCAATTCCATGGAACCATGCGCGTGCGTGATGCACTGGACGTCGTGATGAGAAGATGATTGAAGTACACAGACACAGGTGAAGCAAACTCATGAAATTCTGACAGCTCTTGAGCAAAGGACTTGGTAGCATGATCAGCGTGTGTAGCAAGCTGAAGTCTTCTAGACCTAGCACCCGCTTGGGCAGCACGCAAGCTTGTGCACCGATCCACCGGCTGAAGCGAAAATGGCCGCGCAGCTTGAGGTGTCAGACTTTCGAGGCAGCTTCAGAGTCCGGGAGCAGTTTGGGTCCACTGGGTGAATCGCTACGCGCTTGACGTGAACAGTAGCAGACCGGTGCCAAACTAGGTGTGCTTCGCACTCCTATCCTGTTTCAGTGGCTTCGCTTACACGCGCAGAGCCCTTCTTCTTCGTCCGCTTTGTTTTGCACGGGGCTCGCGAACGTTTCAGGCCCACTGGCACTTTGTGTACATACGATGTGGCCTGTTCCGTGATAGACGTGACGTGTTACGAATTGCCTAGAGGGGCGTTGCCTCCTTTCATAAACCTAGACCGAACATGTCACTTCCGTGCCAACTGGCTCGCAACTAGGATTTTTTGCATTTGTGCGCAAGTGGGAAAACATGAAACTATGTTCAAAGTTCAATACGCGTAAAGTAAGAGGCCCCCTGTACCAACGGAAACTCCAAACTTATATTTGTTACACTTTCCACTGGTATACGGCCCTGAAGGGCCAACTTGGCCTGATCCGCGCCCGTCGAAGCATTGCTCACCGTGGTCTGGTTGCCGTCCGAGCCCTGCAGATGTTGGAGCTGATCGAAAGCAGCAATACGCGGCCTCGCCGCACAAGGGGGGTGGAGACGGGATACAGGAATTTGGATCCAAATCTGGTTTGGTTCATCATGCGACCACAACCATCATTCGAGGTTGCCTTGATTGTGATACTGACTGCGTGAGGCGGTGGCTGCAGGATTGAACTCCATTTATCCATTTTGGAGGGTGCCTTTAATTTTTCTAGAGCATTGCAACATGAGCCACCGGATTGTGCATGTGGTCTACAGCTTTGGACATATTATGATCGAACTACAGATCATGTTCCTTGCGGACATGGAGGGGGAGGAGGGGATGTCTTCTTTTCGTGGGGCAAGTTGCGGCATGATGCTAACATCACCACATGCTCTAGAAATCCAAAGACTATAGGTTGTTTGTTCACCCTTCGGTAGAAGGGAATTCCTCACCTCGGGTCACCTCAAATTTGGATCTCCTGGGTTCCACGGGGCGTTGGGTGAGTTGCAGACACTCAACAAAACGAAGCGTCCATCCCCGGTGTGATTGCCGCGGTTGTCATAATCCACCACTGCATAGCTATACTACCATGAGTCATTTGGACTCTCAGGGTCTATGAAAAGCTCTAATTACAGGCGGGGATCAAGATGGTCAAGGCTTACTATTGGGTCGGCGTGGGGGTCGGCGATTTTCGGCGAGGCGCCACGCAAGGCACCGCGTCGCAGTTCTTTTTTTAACGTCCTTTATTCCACCCATTTTCCCTATTTTTCCAATCCACCCACCGGTTCCTTTTTTGGGTGTTTCCATTTCTTCCTTCACGCGGCCAAACCGCTCGGGACTCCTCCGCCTTCGTGGATGGAGCCCTGGTCAGGTGGATTCAGGTGATGCGGCAGGAGCGCTGGGACCACGAGGAGCGGCGGCTGAACGTCACGGTGGACGGTGGACGGTGGACGGTGGGTGACGCGCGCGGATCTTGGCGTGCCGCTGAGGGCGAGGAGCGAGGGAGGGAGATGTGGAGGGGAAGATCCTTTTTGGGAGCGCTCGGGAATCATGCATTCGGAGTCGCCGGGCAGAAGTCAGGTGAATCATGCATCGAAATCGAATCAGTGATGAAGCCTGGGTGTTTTATCATTTGAGACAAGGCTAGCATTGTGTCTGCCAGGCCCCTTTGTTCTGGAAGTTTTTCATCTTGAAAAAAACCAAAACATGATGCAAAAAAGCAATCACAAAATGCAACCAGAAAAACAAAAGCAATCACAAAAGCAAAAAAGCAACCCCAAAATGCAACCAGAAAAACAAAAGCAATCACAAAAGCAAAAAACAAAGAAAAAAGCAACCCAACTCTTCGTCTTCTTCGGTCTTCCAGGTGCCGCGCGTGTGTGTGTGTGTGTGTGTGTCGTGTCTACTACTACTACTACTCCTACTACTACTCCTACTGCTACTGCTACTGCTACTGCTACTGCTACTGCTACTCCTACTGCTACTGCTACTCCTACTGCTACTGCTACTGCTACTGCTACTGCTACTACTGCTGCTACTACTACTACTACAACTACCACTACCACTACCACTACCACTACCACCACACCACCACTACTACTCCTCTACTGATTACAACCCCAGCACTAGTCTAGCAAGGGCCTCTGCAGATTGACTGCAGATTCGGAATTCAACGCGTTGGAACCGAGCCTGGCGAGGGGGCTGGGTAGGGGTAGGGTGAGGAATTCGGGTCTTCTCTGGCGCCGGGTGAAGCGTCGCACTTTGGGTCGTCTTTTTCCAGTGCTGGGTCAAAAGTCGCACTTTTAGTCGCTTTTTTTCGGCGCCGGGTCAGAAGTCGCACTTTGGGTCGCTTATTTTTGCGGCGCCGGGTCAGAAGTCGCACTTCTCGCATTTTTTTTGGCTTTGTTTTTGCACTTTTTGGCGGTGCGGGGAAAAAAGTTGCATTTTTTTTTCGTTTTTTTCCGTTTTTTTGTGAAAGAGCGAAACAAAAACCGAAAAAAAAAGAAACGAAAAAAACGAAAAAACACGACCAAAAGTGCGATTTTTTCCCGGCACCGCCAAAAATAACCAAAAAAACAACCAAAAGTGCGCCAGAAAGTGGGCCCTCCCCGAAAAGTGCGCCAGAAAGTGCGCCAGAGTGGGCCCTCCCCCAAAAGTGCGCCAGAAAGTGCGCCAGAGTGGGCCCTCCCCCAAAAGTGCACCAGAAACACCGCCAGAAAGTGGACCCTCCCCCAAAAGTGCACCAGAAAGGGCGCCAGAAA